GTTTTATATAGAACCAAAGCATATGCTATGAAATTAAAACAACAACCAACATATACCAAACAAACTCCAAATTATCTAAGTTTTCTTTCTCACCACGAAAACCTCACTTACAAGCTGCTTAAGATTCTCTAACTACACTAAAATTTACAAATCCGATTCTAAGTTAAGAAACAATAAAATCATGAACACAAACACAAGTTCGAGAATAATTAAAGCTGGAAATATTTACTCATCCTAATATCTACACAGAGCATAAAAACTACAAGGATCTACCACCAAATAACACTACATATAAAGGAAATTAGAAAATCCAAATAACAAATAGCTAATCAATCTCAGTTGTTCAACCCATTGCAGATAATGCATCCAAAAATTTCTCTGATCACTCATACAAACACCAAGACCAAGCAACTTTTAGCTATAGCCTACCAGCAAGATAAGATCTTTGCAATGAGAATGATACTACAAAACGTATCTGAATCAATCAATTCCAAATGATTAGAAGATTTCAGCTTTAAGATAATGCATCGTTTCAGCTTTCAAACATATAAAATAGAACCATATAAGGTAGAAGCTTTCAGCTTTCAACAACAATCAACAATAGATGACAATAAATCCAAGCCAAAAGTAAAGTGCAATAGAAAGCAGAAACGATCAGATTCATCATATCTTCTAAAATTATGACATGATAAACTTCTAAAAGGAGACGATAATTGAATAATATGTCTAGTAGATTCATCATATCTTCCGCTGACATATGAGTTTGATACTAAGCAACAACTAAAATTCTTTAATCAGCTGCATCAAGGAACACAAAAGCTAAGCACCATTTTATAGCTTTGACACTTTGAAATGACAAAAAGCAACTAAAGGTACAACAAACACAAACCCTAGCTGAGGTAAAAGTAAGCTCTATATTCAGTATCTTGCAACCTGAATACAATCAACAAACCATAGAAAAATAAGCAAACAGAGTTCAAGCTCCTTAATAAGCAACCACGCCCAAGAGAAGTGCCAAAACAAAAGCCAATAATCAAACCCATGAACTATAAGAATCAAATACACGACTAAGAATCCAATAATCAAACCCATGAACTATAAGAATCCAATAATCAAACCCATGAAAAATTATAGCCGCTCAAATACACACAAATTATTCTATGAAAAACCCATGAAAGATTATAGCCTATAAGCATCATAAACTCAATACAAAACCTATGAATCTTACCTTAAACTAACGGCGAAAGATTCGGCGGAGAGAACGGCGAGAGATCCGGCGGAGAGAAACGGCGAGAGATCCGGCGGAGAGAAACGGTCGGCGAAGTGGACGGCCGGCGAGAGATCCGGCGGAGAGAGAGAGCTGATTTTGTTTGTAAAGAGAACAAAAACAGAGAATCGTCGACGAATGAAAGAGAAGAGGATTAGGTTTTAGGAGTGTAATTTTCTAAATTAAGTAGGGGTATTAGGTATTCAGTTTCTATTTGACTGAATCAGCTCTAGTTAACTGCCTCCGATCAAACTCAGGTCGGATTCCAATCATTTTTTTGGATGAGTTTATTAAAAAATCATCCAACTGATTCATCTCACTGCTCTGTTAAATTTGCTCTAAAGACATCAATTATTCATCTCATTCAGCTGGATCCATCTGAATGGAGAAACGAACAGCAACCTTATTCAAATAAGAGAGGGGTATTTCTACTTTTATGACTATTGGATAGTTTACCTGTAGCTAACGCAACCAATAGACTTATCCAGATATCCTATTTTTTGAATGAGTTTGTATTTGTATCCAGACGCAGGTATGCTGTTCATTGTGCTAAATAAGCACTAACGAACAACAATGCTCATCTCATCCAGATACTGCGTCTGGATAAGGAAACGAACAGGGCCTTAGTTTTATTTGAAGCTAAATATAAATTTGGACAAGTTAGTTTTTCAACCTTTAGATATCATTATATTAAAGAAAATTTTCATGTTTAGACCAAAGAAAATTTGAATTTGAGTTTTATGGTTTTTATGGTTTTGATGTTTATTTTGTTTATGTTTTTTTATTTGAAGCTAAATATAATTTTTGACAAATTCATTCACTTTTAGATATTATTACATTCATGTTTAGACCAAAAAGAAAAACAAGGACTTTTGGTCATTTGACACAAAGTGCGTTTAGATACAACAACCGAAATAACAAACGAACATAACTGCGTTCAGATACAATTTCCGGACGCATGTATCAAACTTGCAAACGAACATCATCTGGTTACTGCGTCCAATAACTGCGTCTAGATATTGCGTCTAGAAATCATCCGGTTAAGGAAACGACAGGGCCTAAGACTTGGGTTCTCAGTCATCGTTTAGATAAGCAAAGAACAACATAACCGGTTACAACAATAAAACCAATGAACCAAAACAACCCCATGAAATGTACAATATTCAAACGTTTTTAACATATTTTACAGCTTTACACAGGTTTGTGCTGAGAAGGTAACAATCTGGCTTCAATTTCGATCAGTGGTATGACTACTTGGAGATTTCATTGATGAAGTACAAGAACCTGCATTGGTATCATCATCTTCTTCTCTGCCTATTCTCAAACTGTATTCGATCAAACATAATCAGTACAATCAGAGACAGTGCTAACTCCAGAGTGGGGGAATGATCAGAAGTATAGCCAACAACAAGGCCACTGAAAATTCCCGGTCCAATCAAACCGCTCTTGCTTCCATCTCCTTTCTCCCGAGACTAATAGTGTTATGCGCAGCGCATAAACCACGCTTTCCTCTAGCGAATTTCTCGTATTTCCCATAAAAACTAGGCTTTATTGCTGAACAACCTATCCAAATCATTGAACTACAAATCTTAAAGCTTAAAGCAACAAGATTAAAGATTAAAAGATATGAAACTTGAAAAGATATGAGATAGATAAAAGCTTGTAGGTCACTAGCTAGATGGTTATTAAAGCTTAAAGCAACGAGATTAAAACACCAATTTTGATTCTAGACCCGACTTCAATCAACTTCAATGAAACTCATAAACCAACTTCAATCAACTTTAAGATCTCGTTAGTGAGAGATCTTAAGCAAACCCACAAGCAATACAGAACCAATACATAGAAACCAAAACAGATCCAATACATAGAAACCACAAAGGTGTTTGAGAGGCTGTCTGTCATATTCAGTGTTCTTTTAATAAGTAATAACCCCTCCAAAAATCGGGTGGGAGCAAAATCCACAACAAGTTTGAATCGCAACTTGCAGAATGATTCATGAGGCAAAAGACTTAGTGAATATATATATGCGATTTGTTGTTGTGCTGGAACATGCTTGACCTCAAAGAGATCACATATCAACATTGTAATACACTGAGTTTGTGATAGTAGTACAAATGGAAATGGTTTTATAAAAATTGAATTGGCTATCTATAATATAAAGAATACTTACCTTTTCGATTAAAGAGTTAATTAGTGTGTTTGATTTAAAGCAATCAAGGGAAACTGATGCAATTTCGTTTACCTTGTGAATGAGAAAAAAGTATGGGGAACAATGACAACTTGTTCAGAATATCAAATCTTTTGAACAAAGTGATGAAATTAGAAATTTAGTGATCATACACACAAAATAGGTTTGCAAAATAGCAACTAGATAAAGTAATAGAAGCATTAAATGAATTCTAGCCAAGCTTATATACTTTCAAGTGTCAAGACCAGACTTCTTCTACAGCTCTCAAAGACTCAAACCATGATGTTCCTTGGAGAATCTTGGGTCTTAATTGTAGCTTTAAGACTCGTGCCGGAAAACGATACGTCCCCGTTTCGACAAGTGTAATATAAGTAAATAACCGAGGGCATATCGGTCATATCCGCTAATAAGCAATTTATGGTTCTTCGCTTCTCCTCCTCCTTCGCTCTCTCAAGCCCCCACTCTCCGTTGACTACTGACACTCGCCGTCTTCATCTTCCCTGTACGTATCTACTCCCGATCTGTAAAATGCTTCTTTCTCTTTTAATTGTCGTTTCTTCGATCTGTTCATCGTGATTATTTGGGATTCTGGTTTGTTGAAATGCAGCAATGATGGTCGGTGGTCTACTACGCTTCCTAGTTTCTCTACTCGCCGTAGCAATTTGCAATGCGGCTTCGATTTCTCAGCCGATTTCAGAATCTCACAGATCCGCGGCTCTCGACTTTGCGTTGTGTAGTAATATGATTTTTTTTTGAACTCACTCGTTTAAATTTGCGCTTCTGTTATAATCAGCTTGGAGGACTTTGGAGATTCTTGGAATTGATAAGAGTCTGATTTAAGCTCAGCCACGTGTGAGAATGTGGTTAAAGTTCTAGCGTCGCCTTCTTCTGCTTTGAGAGTTAATGGGATTCTTAAATGCAATCTGGAGAAGATGTTCCTAAGGTAAACAGTTGGTCTCCTCCCTATTACCTTTTAAAGTGGGTGGCTAGAGTAACTTCATCTCTTCTTTGTTTTCCTTTTTTTGAAGGACATTGTCTGTCTCTAAACTTCAAGCTCGCGCTAAGGATGCCAAGTTATTGCTTGACTTCTACTATTCTGTCAGAGGCTTAGTGCTTGTCAAGGTAATACTGTAACAGAGTTCTCGCTCATTACTTGGAAGTATGAAAATATATTCTTGGCAGAATACACATGTGATCTTGATAATTTCTTTTTTTTTTCAACTCTATAGCTTTGTCTTCTTGCTTTTCCATTTGTTTGGCTTCAGGTTTGAGTCGTTTGACCTCGCCTTTTACATAATTGCAGGAGCAATTTTCTGGAACTGATCTAAGTCTTGCTGATGCCGAAGCCATTTTCCCTTCAATAAAGGTTTGAACTTGTTTAGCTCAGCCTCTATTTGTTTTTGTTGAGTAATCAGATGTTACATTGTACACTGTTTCGGATTATCAACTATAGACTCTGGTAGTAGTGCATATAGTGTTGACATGTGACCAGTATTCAGCTACTATATTAGGCACTACTTTGGTTGTTTTTCAAGTATTATCAGGCTCATTTAGTAAATTGTGTATCAGGCTCTCAGCCAGAGTGATGGAAGATGGCGCTACAGCTCCAACAATCCGGAATCAAGCACCTTTGGTGCTGGTAAGTATTTCTTATTGGATTAACCCGTCATACTTCAGGATGAACATTAAAGTTTTACCTTTTAAATTATTTTCCCATTTTCTTCTAAACATAAGATTTTTTTTTCCTGTAGGCTTAGCATTCGAAACTCTTGCTGGAGTGATTTCATTAGCACCTTCAGGGATTGATCAGTCAATGGTAAGAGAGATCTTTGGTGCACTAAATTACTGATTTTCTGAGAATATATATTGATGAGACATCCCGTCGACGTCTTGGTTTAGTGTTGATTTACTTTGGTTCTGGAATAACTTGGTAGCTAGAATAAACAACTGTTTTTGGTAATTTTAATTTCCAAGTCGTAGCTACAGGGGAAAATAATGTATGTCTACCTGGCATTTGTAGCTGGTTATGCCTTTTTGCCATTTATGTGGTAGTTTGGTTGATATTACTTGGTCATGTGATGATATGATCATTCTTGTTTTTTATCTTGTAGATCCAGACACTGAGACGGGTATCTTGAAGCTTTTTGACAGAATCCAAAAATATGGTATGAAGTAAACTACTTGCTATATTACGTATATGCATTAGGAGATTTCTTCAGTCACTTCATAGTTCTTTTTTCCAGTATAGATTAGCATTTCTCAGCTTGATTGTTTTTTCGGCCTTTCAGACGATGGGACATTTTACTTCGATGATAGTGAAGGCCCGATCTCAACAACTGCATCAGTAATTAGAGGGCTCACGTCATTTTCAGCTTCAGAATCCACAGGATTGAACGTATGTAGTAACCATATTTCTCTGTATCCTGCATTCTTCCAGATGTGTTGATAACTCACTTTGCTTTCCCATTCTCTCATGCAGCTTCCAGGTGATAAGATAGTTGGTTTGGCCAAGTTCTTTCTTGGTGTCGGAATTCCTGGAGATGCCAAGGATTTCTTCAACCAAATAGATGCACTAGCTTGTTTGGAAGATAACAGGCAATGCTACTTTCTTGCTCTCTTTATGCAATTTCTCTTTGTTTTATTTCAGTACACATCTTAGACGAGATTTCAGTAACTTAGAATTGAGTTGAGTGATACTAGGAGTTACAGTTACTTCCGTTCTTCTGTGTTAAGAGTTGCTTTTGATAGATGCTAACTATTTCTAGTACATGTAAAATTGTGTTGAAGGGCTTGTGGTCCTCCATCCTAGAACTTTAACAAATGAGTACGGCAGAATGATATCTGTAGACAAAACACTTATGAAATTTCAAGCAGATGCTCATTTATCATGCTCTCGCTGTAACTTTGTTATTTTATGGGAGCAATAATATGTGTTTCGGTTGTTGTCTATGATTTCAGGTTCTCTGTTCCACTCATCTTGTCTCTTCCATCTACTGTCATTTCATTGACAAAGAAAGAGCTTCTGAAGGTATCTCATCAAAACTTTCATCAAGATGGGACTGGCATAGTTTGAGATGTTTTTTCTTTATCATCTATTTTTTCCCCTTATGTTTTTATACAATCCCCTTCAGAGTTCTCGCCTCTCGGTGTGGTACTTTTAGTAAGGAAAATCTTCTTATCTTTAGATTTTCTAGCTTCGATTACGTGTCCCTGTTGAATAGTGGTACTTTAAGTTAAGTTCTTCTGGCTATACCGGTTGTATATTGGATATTCAGTTGGTAGAAATTTGCTCATTATCATAAGATTGCATTTTATTTGTAGACTTCTCTCATGTTGGATAATAACTCAGTCTAGTTGACCCTTGGTCCATTACGAGTTTTGGGTATTATATTAATATTTTATTTATTCTCTATATGGAACTAGGTTAAAGTTAGCACTGTACTCGGTTCTAAGGCACCAGCTCTTAGTGTGAAGGTCGCAGAAGCGCTAAATTCAAAGGGTTCTTCTGTAATTAACAACCAGGTATAATGTAGCTTCTCTGACTATTTGAGTTCGCATTCGTGATTGTTCCCTTTTCTCTGCATCAAGTCTGTTTACATGTTTCCATTACCTTTTTGGGGCACAGGCTCTAAGTTTGACGCTGACAGTGCAACGTACTTCTTGGACTCCTTTCCCAAGAACCTTGATGTTGGGAAGTATACATTTGTATTTGAGGTATTCCTCTTGTTAATATATATTACACGCAGACTTCGCATACAATGTATGTTAAGAACATGATAAGATTCATTTTCTGCAGATTTTGCTTGATGAGTCGGCAAATGAAAAAGCTTACGTAACTGAAGCTCAAACAAAAGTGCCTATAGCCGCCACAGGAGCTATTAGCATTGAGAACGCAGAAAACTGCTGTACTTGACAGTGATGTTGGGAGCGTTGAATCTCAGAAAAAGTAGGCATCTTTGTACCATTTGTTACTTACAAAATATATTTTTTACAACTTTCTTCTTGTGCTTATCATAGTTTTGTTTCTTGGTTCCTTTTGCAACTTTTGTAGGCTAGATTTAACTAAAGATGAGGCAGTATCATTATCAGCAAACCATCTCCAAAAGCTACGTCTGTCATTCCAGTTAACTACTCCACTTGGCCTTGTTTTTAAGCCACACCAGGTTTGTTCATTCCCGATTCTCCTTTATTAATTGTTTCGCTCTTGTTCACTTTCTTGATTTGCTTACTTCCATGCAGGCATTTCTCAAACTGAAACATGAGTCACAGGTGAGCATATCTTTCTCGTGAAAACTTCTGGAAAGAAGGCTGAATTAGTTCTAGTAAGTTCCTTAAACTACACCTTGAATGGCTTTTGTTAACAATATTCTTTGACTATATTTCATCTTGCTATGGTCAAGTTTGGTGAACGCAATATTAACCAGTAATGTTATTTCCCCCCTTCAGGATTTTCTTGGATTGGTTGAGAAGCTCTACTACCTTTCTGGTAAATATGAGATCCAGCTAACTATTGGAGATGGTAAGTACTCTTCTGTCAGATCCATTGCAATTGATTTATGTTTTTCGGAAAATTTGAAAGATGTTATATTTCCTTTCATTTCATTTCTCCAGGAGAAGTCTTTATTGACTAATATTGGCTACATCGAACTAGACCTACCAGAACGTCCAGAGAAGGCGCCTCTTCCTCCTCTACAGCCTACTGACCCTTACTCGAGATATGGGCCAAAGGCTGAGATATCACACATCTTCGTGTTCCTGAAAAGCTTCCTGCGAAGAAAGTTTCACTAGTCTTCTTAGGTCTTATAGTTCTCCCATTCATCGGTTTCCTGATTGGGGTCAGTATTCTTTCGCTTGTAAATAGATTCAGAAAAACACAAATCCGAAAAACATGAGTACGTTTGTTTCACAAGTCTCATGCAAACTTTTTATTTCTGTTTCAGCTGACACGGTTGGGAGCGAACATAAAGAGCTTCCCATCATCGATTGGAGCTGCAAACATCCGCTCTACTATTCCACGGCGGCATCGGAGCTGTTCTGCTTCTCTACGTGCTATTCTGGTTGAAGGCAAGTTCTCAAAACCGGTTCTTGTATTAAGATTAAAAAAGACCATTGCATAAAAAATCTAATGCTCATCTACTTGTGTATCCTGCAGTTGGATCTGTTCACGACACTAAAGGCACTTTCTTTGTTGGAGTGTTTCTGTTGTTCGTTGGACACAGCACACTCTCTCACCTCGCAGCAGCATCGAACAAGTTGAAATCTGCTTGAAGAATGTATTCAACTATGGTGGATTCTGTGTTCCATGGAGCAGTTTTTTTTCTTTCCAGTTTTGTAGCATTACTTTAATATAGATAATGGTGATAGACAATTCCAAAGGATTTCAGAGTTTACTTGCTCTCTCAGTTTAGTCTTTAAAGTTATGATAGAACCTTACTATGATAATATAGCTGAAAAGATACAAAGAACAATCACAAGTCGGGAGATCCTGAGCATGTGCCCAATCAAGAGAAATCAATCTATGATCCTAATTCCTAACAAACCAATCCCAAGCCAAGAAGACGACTCTCGTTTTATATGAATCTTGTTGTTGACTCTTAGCAGCCAATAACACAATGCCATGTCAGCTTCCGTTGAACCATGTTTTTTTTTTATAAACAAACTGTTGAACCATATTTGCAAATCAAATGAAGTATTTAACTCATTATTAGATCAAATGACTTTGTAATTGTAACACTTTGTGATAGTCTTATTTATTAGGCTACTGACTTTCGTATATTGTAACACTTTCGTAACTTGATAATCATTAGATTAAAGTCTCTCCTCGTCCGTTCTTTCATACTAATACTTTTACATGCAAATCTGTTCTTCTAACATGCTATTTTAGTGAAATTCAGTAATTCATTGTATTTAAAAACGTGTCGTTTTAAAATATGTTAGTTGCCATGCAACTACTCAGTCTTGATGAGATATTTTCATGGGACTTCAAAAAAAAAAAAGAATCATATTGCATGTGTTTCTCTCAGTTAGGCCATATCTATATGTCCATCGTTGATTAATTTATCTAGTCTGAAATATTGAAACAAATTAAAAGAGAAGAAAGAAATGATTCCCCCATATTGGTGAAAACTTGAAAAGTGTGAATAACTCATTGGTCCCTCCATCTCACGTGAATTATTGCGAATGGGACAGTACTAGTGTTTGGGTGTGGTTTCAAAATTACCGTACCAATTAAAAACAAAAACATAATTAAAAAGAAAGTGTTTTGTGTGTGCGTCGTCCGTGTCAGATGATGTTTGTGGGTGGTTAGTTCCAAAGATTTCCAAAAATAGAAAGTCTTGACGTATGGACATCTTAGCTAAGCTCCTCACTCCTTACTATATTTGTACATTAACGCGTTTCCCTCTGTATTTTTTTTTTTTTTTTTGTCGTCTCCTTTAGATTGTTTATGTTTTCCTCTCAATAATTTAACCCTAACTATTAGTTTCTCCCCAACCTATTTTGCAATGAACCGTTCATTTATTATCACTCATCAATTTTGCATTAGAAAGTTGGTTAATCTAACATTTTCTTTTATAGATATATTGATTACGTAGAAAATCAGTTAGCTATCACGAGTCGAATCCAATTGTATTAAAAAGGATAAAAAACAAATTACAACATATATAAGAATTACCTATCGTGAAGACATGGAGGAGTATCCACTATCAGCTCGTTCACATGGCCCCACACTGAACAACGATAACAAAATATCACAATGAACGAATCCTACTTGAGGTTATTTGGAAAGTAGCTTATGACAAGATTTGGACAACTCACAAATCAAGATTCTATCGATACCATCCGATGTTTAATTTCCACGTTCGTTAATCTCGGACTTGATTGTGATTCCATGATTTGCAAAATTTAAAATTAGACATATCTAAAACCTTCTTCTTTTTTTTTTTGAACACAATGACATATCTAAAACCTTTGGATCTGAACTTAGTTGTAAATCCTTATCTCCTAAATATATAATAACGTTTTGTATATATATATCTTTAATTAAGAAAAAAATTAACGTAGTATATGATATTATCATATTATGCCAGTGACGGATGAGTATATTTACCCATTACCCAACAAGATCCACAGTTTTGGTTTGCATTCAAATCAATCAATACTATTAAATCCAAACTACTAGTTGGGTATATTAATTTATACATGCATGGTTCTACGTAGAAATATATATTATATATATATTGGTAAACTGGTTCTACGTAGAAATATTAGTGAGTAGCTGATTCAATCAAAGGGATTTCATAGACCCGAACCCTCTGATTGTCTTGGAGTCTTCTAAACCAACTCTCAACACTAGGCCTCTATATATAGCAGCTGGCTCTCTCTCTCTCTCGCTCTCACAAACAAGCAAACAACATTAGAAAAGAAAGAAAAAAAATTGACATTATGGATACGTCAAAAAAAGCTGCGTGCGACAACTGTGGTTCAACAGAAACAAATCTAGGGCAAACCCGCTGCCTGCACAAGACGTTCTGCAAGAGCTGCTTCGAATCCCAAGGATTCGACAAAGTGTCATGCGATGTATGCAAAAAGAATCACAAGGAGAGCGCAAAGGCCAGGAAGAAGGCAGAGAAAGGCTCGGGGAGTGGCGGAAGTAATTGGGTTTTAAATTTTGTATTTATTACTTTGTATGAATCTTAACTGATATCATGGTCTTATTTTGTATTATTATATTAGGCCGTGGATTTTAAAGCATGCATGCAAGGAAGAAGAAGGAAAAGAAGGAAGGAATCTTATGGAGTGGAAATGAAATAATCATCTTTGTAGTATTTTAATTTTAAGTCTCTGCTTTGTAAACCCTAATTAAATAATCATCTTTGTAGTTGGGATTATTATGAAATAAAGTGTTCAGCTTGTTTGATTGCGGTTTATCTATCCGAAATTATTTAGGAAACAAAGGAAATTGAGAGCAAACTGATGTAAACACATTCATGCACAAATGATTTATGCCTAGTTACGGATCTACTTCCGTCCTCTATAACCGATTCATCTTCTTCTCCAAATTATCTCCTCCATCTCTGTAATGTTGCTCCATCTCTTAAACTCTCCCTCTCTTCTCGAATTCGGTGTGTATCAGAATTTCTGATTTGATTTTGATTTTGTTTCGATTAGAGAATTTCTCGATGAGATATTTTCATGGGACTTCAAAAAAAAAAAAGAATCATATTGCATGTGTTTCTCTCAGTTAGGCCATATCTATATGTCCATCGTTGATTAATTTATCTAGTCTGAAACATTGAAACAAATTAAAAGAGAAGAAAGAAATGATTCCCCCATATTGGTGAAAACTTGAAAAGTGTGAATAACTCATTGGTCCCTCCATCTCACGTGAATTATTGCGAATGGGACAGTACTAGTGTTTGGGTGTGGTTTCAAAATTACCGTACCAATTAAAAACAAAAACATAATTAAAAAGAAAGTGTTTTGTGTGTGCGTCGTCCGTGTCAGATGATGTTTGTGGGTGGTTAGTTCCAAAGATTTCCAAAAATAGAAAGTCTTGACGTATGGACATCTTAGCTAAGCTCCTCACTCCTTACTATATTTGTACATTACGTGATGACCCGCGCAGGGCGCGGGGTAATGATTTTGTTTTATACTTTTTGGACGAAATTATAACTAATAATGTGTTACCTACCTAAATACTTTGGTAAATATAACTAATCTTTGTTATAAATTAGTATAAATAAACTAATGCAATGTGAAATTATGATAAAATTCATATATTTGAAGAGAAAAATATAATACAAGTTTACTCCATCAGAATATTAAATAAATAAAATTTATTGTTATATCATGTCTTTTAAAAATTATGACGATCGTATATTTATTTTAATACCAAAATCGAATGACAAAAATATATGTAAAAAATGAAAAAGTAACGAAACCATATCTTGATAGCTGAAATAACTATATTTTTCCTAACGATCAGTAAGAAAAACTCTGCATTATCCAAACTTCTTTACAAATATATATATATTTTTTTTTTTTTTGCTAAGAATGTAAATATTTCATTAAAATGAAAACAGTTTAGGTTTACAATCTAAGATTTTAAACCTATACAAATGGTCCCATGGCATAAAAGATAAAAACATGGAAGCATAAATTGTAGTTTGACAATTTTCGGTCCATCCACTCGACCAAAGCGTTGAAGCCGAAGGAGTTAGACGAAGCGATGACGATTTTGAAAGTTCTTTCCAAATAAGATGCCGAAAGAAGGGTGACTGCAACATGAAAACGCAGAAATGTGCAAGACTCTTAGCACTAGAAGCCTTTCACTGGAGGTCCGAAGATGGACCGTCAACGGCAGAACTCAAAGTCCTCGATCACATACTCCCTCCGCGTCATGTGAGAGCGACTCGTCGATCAAATCCATGAGCTATCCCAAAATGAAACCTCACAAACCAAATTATGCGAACGATGTGAGCTCCCTCTACCAAGTTCATTCCCCGAAGTCGGCTAGCGCAGAGCAAGATTTATGCTAATCAATACCACATCGGACACCATCGGTCTTACTAGCTCCTCTAGAGTACAAATCAAAAGCAACAAGAGGCGAGAACACATTGCAGAACTAACTTCAACTCAAAGCAACTGCAGAAGCTAGACACATTCAAAACCAGGCCTTGAAGCACAATCAACAAGTCAATAAATACTAGTGATGTCAATTAAAGAGACAGCAAATTAGCCACCACCGGGAGCTATACTATCATCAAAAATCAAACAGCACCGCAGCTACCAAAGACACAAACTGAGAAACCGAGACGATGCGATAAACTTGACGCTTCAAACATGGTAACTCTCTAACAAAACCTAAAAGCTGTCCTCTAGCAGAAGTTGCGAACAGAAAGTTCTCATCCCAAAGGCAAGCCAAATCGTCAAGGTGAACAAACAGAATTGAAGCCGTGAGGAAGCGATGCCCTGAAACCTATCTGAAAGAGGGAAGCAAGAGCAATCGATGAAGACCACTCGAAGCCATCAACTCTATCAGACGAGACGGCCCACACGGAGGGGACAGGGGCAACAAACACAAGGAACTATGCCGTCAACCAGCAAGAAATCCCATCGGAGAGAAGCCCAACCACCGGAAATTGCAGGTCGACGCGGCTGATTCCCAAGCAAAGGCTTGAAAATTGCAAAACCCATGAAGACGGAGAAGCAAAGCTTGAACCCGTTGCAGGATTTGCGAAGGAGGAGGAGTAGATCTGAAGCAGATCCTTGCCGATCGAAGCCGTGAGACGCAAAAGAAGACGCAAGAACTCCGCCAAAACTCAAGCCGTCGATTAGCGAAGAGAAAAGAACGGAGGAGCGCCGTCAACACCACGAAGTGGCCGTCGCACGCGGCGGAACTACTCCCTTTCACCGCGAGTTTCAAGGCACTTCAGACTCGTCGATTCACACAAGTGCCAGAACGTGAGCTGAAAAGAAAAACAATGAGGCCCTCTCACGGCGCCGGTCAAAGCCGGACACCGGAGAGGCGAGCAAGGCGACGGCGAAAGAGAACTTTTGGCTTTAGGTTTAGAGAGAAAAGACGTGGTTAATTTGTGTCGTGATCAAATTTTTTTGCCATGTGATAATTTGTGGACGAACTTGCCTTCAAAAAGAAATGATAGATTGAATATCTGTTCATATTCATCCACGAAGTGAACATTAAATCGTTTTTCACATTTTCATGCAAGTTCATCAAGTGTCTCAGATTTGCTTTCAAAAATAATTATGTCTCGATATGACATCGTTTTGCAGCTATAGTCTTTTAAAACTAAAGGAGAGAGGGAGCAAGTTATTGTGTATAAAATAAACTTAATAGAAAATTGGTAACTCGAAAGGTAAGACAGAGAAATTGTACTTTGTGTTACTTATATTCTGCCAATGGGAAGATTTCTATATGTTAGAATGACTTCTTCCATTATTGCAATATCCTTCTTTACGGACTTGTTTATGGCAAGTAATAGCAACAAAATGATCTTTGTGCACTCTTTGTTTGGACCTCCTTTTAGTGTGGCTTTTAAATGAAATTTATTTGTAATTTGAAAAAAACAACATGTTTACCTTGATCATTATTTCTAGCCACTATGTTAGCAATCTATGCTTTCTTATATCACATCATCAAGCGAGGAAAGTTTGTTTAAAGAAATGTGCTTTTGTTATCGTCATTTGATTTTAATCGCTTCTTTATCACATTCCAAATACTTGATTCGTTCTTCTGTTGGAAGATGTAAGATAACGATATATAAACACCTTAAAAGTATAGTTCATTAAAACTTTCACCATGCTTTGATACAGACAAAGTCAAGTTCTAAAGAAGTTTAGATGATCTTAAGCGTAGAATGAGTGTGTTGTAATCTTGGTAGGTGGCTGCTCCGATACCACTGGAAATTGTTGTTTTGATCTGAGTCCACTCTGCAGGTATAGTCTTTTCTTTAACGTGAGAAAGAGAGATAGCGATCTATTGTGTAAAAAATGAACTTAAATTGATAAATCAAAAGCTAAAATAGAGAAATTGTAGTTTGCATGTGTTACTTATGCTGCCAATGAAAAGAGTTATACCTATTTGAGCGACTTCTCCGATCATTGTTTATATTTTTTTCATGCCAAATGATAGCAACAAAATGATCATGATGCATCCATATTTTGGTGTGGATTCAAAATATAAACATGTAAATAAAGCTTGTAATTTGCAAAAACCATGTTGTGCAACTCTATCTCGTACATTATTTTGTAGTGACTATGTGAGCAATTTGTGTGTTTTTTTCATCACACTCTACCTCTCCCAAGTGATAGTCTAGAGAACCAAATTTTCTTATACAATTGGTTAACTCTCTATAATTCCAATTACTTTGAAACTAGCAGCTGCAGATAATTGACATAGGATCAAAATATCACCAAGTGAAAAAAAATCGGTAAACAGAAGACTAAACTGGTTTACGAAATCAAATCACTAACCAAACACCACCGTGAAAGGGGAATTCAAAAGGAATCATAAGGGAGAGAGAGGACTTACTTAGAGGATTCTTCTTCGAGCCAGTGGCGGATGTGCTTGACGTTACGCCTTAAGACGGTGACAGATTGCTTCACGTCGCTTCTCAATAGCATCACCACGGCGCCTACTCCGGCCACCGTCAATATGAAATTCGTTAAACCCATTGCTCCGATAAACGATCCGCAAACTCTTCTCTAGGGCTTTAAGAGTTTAAGACCATACACACATGGGTTATTTATTTTGGGTATCAGTAGCCCAAAAACCATTTTAATAATGGATCAAACACAAAAATTCCGTATCAGTCCACTGATACCTTTCATACTCATTTTAGTGTGACGTGTCAGTTTGCCATTGGTCCGTTTTTTTTTTTTGGTAACAATTTTTCTGGTGAAAACAGAGAAAAAAGAAAAATTCATTTGCTCTCAAAATCTCTCATCGAACAAGGTTTAATATTACAGGTCTGTTCAATTTCGATCTCTTGGATTCTCTTGCATTCTATTAATCAATTTCAGAACTCTTTATTTTAGATTGATCTTATGTGTTCTTGATCGTTTTTGGATTTGTTTTTATTTGGAGCTTGAATCGCTAAAAATGGAAGGGATTGAATCTGGTTCTAGACAAGGAAAGAGAGTGGTGGTGATCGGCGGTGGACTCGCCGCGAAATTGCTTCAGTTCCATGCTGATGTCACACTCATCGATCCGTAAGTTCTTTCACCAAATTCTTAAATCCTCATTTTTAATTTTTTTTCAAAACTTGTGTTGAGATCAGGAAGGAGTACTTTGAGATTACATGGGCAAGTTTGAGATCCATGGTGGAGGAGCCTAAGTTTGCTGAAAGAACAGTGATTAACCACAAGAGTTACTTGAAACAAGGTCGTGTTGTAACTTCTCCGGCGATCAATATCACAGAGAGTGATGTTATGACTGAAGATGGATCTAAAACTAGACAAGAGAAGTTGTCACATTACCAAGCTGGTATGAATCTAAATCCTGACATCTTTTTCATGTGATTTCTGTTTGTTTTAGTTGGTAATGAGATTGTGAGTGGAGATATTTTGTTTGTCTTTAGTATGATTTATACAACATTTGATCTTTATTGTTGTAGAATATGACAAGATCAAATATTCTGGATCAGTTTTGATAGTTGGTGGAGAAGAAGAGATGAGTTTTATTTATCATTTATGTTAGATACAAGTGTAATAGTTTTATAAAACTGTTTACTTGTGCAGGACCGGTTGATAATGTTGATGAAGTAACAGGTGGACTAAAGCACTTGTCTTTAGATGGACAAAAGCGTATCGGAGCGACGTATTACATTGAATGTAGCTCAAAAACTCAACAGGTACACTTGTACGTGTGTGTTAGGAAACATAGGAGTCATTAGTGTTAGTCTACTCTTTACTCGCAAACTATATATTATCTATATATATGCTTTTCTTTGGTTTTATGGTTTTTGCAGAATGTGAAAGCCGTATTTGATGCTGCTATCAAAGTAGTAATTAAACCAGCGATGAAACAAAAGGAGAAGAAGAAGAGCAGAAGCCGCGCAATGGATGTCTCTCGTAAGTTGAAATAATCTTCCCTTTAGAGTCTCTTTATATATGACTAAGATATTATGTAAAATTACAATCACTGGAATTTGGTTATGCAACCTATAGCTTCATACAGTTTTTTATGTTTATGTGAAGTCTCAAAGCCATTAACGATTGTAGATGGGCTTCTCTATTTTGCAGAAACATTCTGTGTGGGAAGCATTGATGATGACTCAACTCCATCTGATGATTGTTCACTTCCTTTCTTTTTTTCTATTTGCCTAGTTTTGTGGTTGTGATAAGTCGGAATATACATAGATTTGGCAGAGATGAAGCCTCAATTAGTAGCTTCTTCGATTTTGTATGTACATGTAAACCTGATGTTTGTTTGTTTCGATTTGGTTTGACCCTTATAGAATTGTTTTAGCCAAAGACTCGTTGAGACTATAGAGAAGAAGAGCTTGGTGGTAAACCAAATCCTTGTAGCTCACGTGGCTAACACTTATTTCTTTCGAAATATGTTGGACCCTCCTTATTCCCAAATTTGAATTTATTTGGCCCTATCATGAATCCGAGACCAAAAGACAAAAGCGTGCAAGGAAAAAACATGTAAATTTCAACGTATCGACAATTGAAAGAAGATTTGATTGAGCATTTTTGGCAAAAATAAGGCCAAAGTAATTGACTCGTGGTGACTAAATTATCTTTATCATCATGTTTTTTATGTTTTTATAAATTTTATGTTTTTTTTTGCTTAAGTATATTCTACGTTTTTTTGGATTGTAATATTACTTTTTGTAATCCTATGTTTTTCTATATTTATTTTTGATTTTGCAAATAATTTTTTTTTTATGATACTTAAACCGGTTTCACCAATGGAAACATATTTAGTACCGGTATCATAAAAAATCTCAAACAATAAACAAATATTAAAATTAATACTAAAAAATTGTTAATGATACTCTATTAGTATCAACTATGTGCATGCTCTAAGTAGAAACAAATCAATAGTTGACTTTCTTAGATATACACAAAACTAAAGAACATATAATAAGTGCAAATGTGTACATATTATATAAGGATGTTTACCTTTTAGATTTTATCAATATATTCTGAATTTTTTTGGTTATGAAGTAAATATTTTTCTATGAAAAATAAAAATATATGTATGCAATTTTATATTTCATTGTTAAGTAACACAATAAATACACACCCAGATAAAAAAATAGAATTAATAAATAATTCAAAACAAATAGATATCAAATTTTATACTTCATCTTTTAGTAAACAAATTATTTAGATATACACCCAAATAAAGTATAAAATTAGTTAATAGTTTAAAGACCCGTAAACGGTATCTATACCATTAATTGGGAAGCACTCAAACATAAATAACCTTCTAAAGTGTAAAGTATTACAAAAATGCCATTGGTTTTTGTTTTTAAATAAATTCATTAAAGATACAATAATAATCACAAAATAATATATTTAAATAAAAAATAGTAAAAGTCGTTAAAGTAATTATTAGTTTCCAAAAGATTAAACTCACTTTCTCTCTCATATTAATTATGGACGAAAATTTAATTTTTTTTTCTAAAAAGTTGTTAACCAATGAGAATTGAAAAACTAAGATTTGATATCCAACTAAAATTTTATCTAAATCAATCCTAATAAACTATTCTATATAAAAAATAAAAAGAAAAATAATAACATTTTAATTCAAAATTAAAAACACTATCGTTTAAAAAGTTTTATCAATGGAGGATTTTAAGCTTGAATTTAAAATTTCGTAAAAAAAAATAAATACAAATATTTAAGACTCAGTTTTGTTATAATATTTTCACAAATTTTGAAATATAAAACAAAATTTTATTTCAAAATTTCTAAAAAAACGATATTAGATATTAACAAATATATATATTTACTATGAAATAAACTCAAATAATGATAAATTTAAAGTAATTATCATTATGACATTCGTTTAGAGCAAGTTTCAGAAATATCTAAACAAAAGATTGTACATATTAATTTCGAAATATTTTGTGTTTTTTTTTTTTCTTCTCAACCGGATCTTTCTTAAACAAATCCATAATATATTACACACAGTTTTCGAAATAATGTGAACTAATTATATATTTTGCATTCAAAACAAATTATGCAGCAATAACATATCTTTTTTATAGATGTATCTCAAATTTTAATTTTTGTCCCAAAAATTGAATTAATTATGATTAAACAATGAAAAGAAAAATATGCAAGATTTAGCTAGAAACATTAATAAATTTATTAAAATATATTTGTAACTTTAACAGCATACATATTAATCCGCAAAATTCACAATATATATTGTAATATTGTATGGTATTTAAAGGTAAGCAAAGAAGAATTTGGAATATAAATTTAATGAAATAAAATGGAAATATAAATTATGAGACGAGATGGGAGGGAAACATATATTAAAAATCAAACTAAATACCCAACTGGCATGAGTTCGGGTTATGAGCACTATATAAAATAAATTTGTTTACACACATAACCCTTTACATACGTTTTCAGTTACACATGCTCTATTTATGACAGATATGAGACCATAATATTTTTATTTTACGTATACGTGACAGGTTATGGGACAAAGAATTTATGACAGATACCGGACGGGATATTTTCATGTTCCAAAATAGTTACGCCTAGCTAATATACATGAAATAACCCAAACTAAAACTGAATTCATATCCTATTTAACATATGTAATCAAACTATTAGAACTGTTTTGATTAGTTAAGAAAATAAAAATGTAACACCATTTAATTTTTGCAACTAAATTAGTCCGGATCTTAAAATATAATTATGCATTAACGCAACTAAATTTTGTTCATTACTCTAACTTTATAATATTTATACTATTACGAAGTTCACTAACACAACAAAATATTTTATATTTTTAAAATCTATATAACGATTTCTATAAAAATATTTTTACACGTACGTAGATGCAGATCTAATACACTAAAATATATATCATAAAAAGTTAGAAACAACAAAATAATTTATACTGAATTAAAATTTGTTAGAAATTTTTTAAAATATGAAACCCCGCACGTACATGCGGGTCATGATCTAGTATATATATAAATGAGATCTCTCGATTTGTTTCTCGATCTTTTAAATCAAGGCAATATGCTCTTTTGTTCAAAAAATCTTTTAACTTTTTTGGTGAGTATGTAAATTGCTTAGCTATTACACTAATGTTAGGACAAAAAACTTACATAACTGAGATTTCTAATTTATCTTTGTAAACCCACATGAGGATTACGGGCCAATATAAATGCAAACATGGGCCAGCCCTCCGGCTATCAAGCCTTTTTAACATCCCTTCGATATAATTGTGATTATTAAGGTACTTATCCATGCAAGTTCCACACTTATATTTTAAATTTTGGGTCTAAATCTTTTTCAAAAATACGAAATGATATAAGTTAGAAAGAACGAATGATGATTCAAAGTGAAAAATACAACAAAGTGAAGTGTAACCGGATCAGATTACACCTTAAGAAGAAAGAAGCATATAGATATTTCGATAAATACATAAACGTTATGTCATCACGCAGAGCCGTGCCAACACTAAGTGTCAGAAGCGGCGAAAAAAAAAATCCCGGTTCAATAGAAAAAATCGTCTACATAAATAAACATCATCGATTCATCGTCATCAAACGAAAACAAATAAAAGAACTAAACTGACAAACAAAAGATTAGCTCTAAAACACTTTTCTTTTATTTTCTCCACAAAATGGTAAACTGAACTTTCAAAGTCAACGTTTCTAATCAATTATCTCTTGATGGATAAGATAGCCATGCCACTCAATCTTTCTTTATGATATACTCGAACGAAAATACGATTTGAAAAACTTATTTTAACAGATGCAACCGAACCGAAACCGTCAACACCTTAATTATTTTAAGTAATCGTTTGTTTATTTTAATTAATTAATTAAGCTCATGTGGCCAAATCAATGAATTTTAAAGCCCAATATTTACGGAAGTGTCCTTAAGTGAGAATTCGAAGCTGTTCCCTTAATTTTTTCTCCAAATTTTGATGCCCTAAGCAAATGTTTATTTTTTCTCCATTAAGACACGGCCCTGTCATCAGGTTAAGATGTGACACTAGATTTGATATATATATATGGATTTTTTTAACTTTTTTCCGCCATCTAATATATCATCATTAGATATATTTGATTTAATTAAATCATATGAAAATTATAGACTACATGCATTATATATATATGATTACAATAAACAGCTTTTACAAACAACGATTTTAAGATGCAGTATTCCTGCAACACTTGGATACACAATTGACGGTTCTATATATACAACTTTCGATGAACATTGTCTTTTTCCAACATACAATTAGACCTAGTGTAAAGTTTTAAAACCATTAACCATTAGGACAAAGGAGACTCCACAATTTTTTTCTTTTTAAGACTTTACTTTCTATAGGTTAAAGAAAAAATTTCAATGAATCTAAAATATAACACATAAAAGTAGAATAAATTCGATCTTTCTACGCTACAACACATAATGCTAGTAGATTGTTTAACTTAAACCTATAATAAATTGCTAAGAATTTTGTTGTCATGTTATCATGGCTTCTTAAACCTAATTTTCAAAGATTAACTCATAGTACTAGGTTTTGTTTTTATAAATCTATTTTTGTAGATCATGTACAAGTTTGGGTTACTGGACCTTATTAATTTAACATATTTTGCTAGGAAAATATTTTTAAAATATTTTTCAGAAGTTTAACTCACAGTGCTACTGATGAATTTTGTTTGTACGATGCTATTTTTGTAGATCATGTACGAGTTTATGTTATTGTGTTACAATTATTTTCTAATTTATTACAAATGATAATCGACTTTTTTCTTAACAATGAAATTCTATATTGAACAAATTCATAAATTAAAAAATAAAGTTATAATTTTTATAGGAAATTATGTGTTTTGTATGTAAAAATAGACTTCTAATATATAGATATAATTTTAATTAAATCTACCATTTTCATGATCTAAAAAAAATTAAGAACATTATTTTTAATTTTTAAGTCTTAAATAAACTGTATAATTTTTCTTCTAAACCTGAAAACAACTTAGAATTAAATAATATAACTAAAACTGAAACTATAGTCAAACAAATCTTTTTTTCAATTCAATCTTCAACAACCCGTCTTTACAAAACTACCAAAAAAATGAGTCAAAAATAATGTTGAAAGTTCATCACTTACAAATTATTTTAGAGAGTTAATATAGATACCTAACAATGTAGTC